CCGGCCCCGCCGCCCCTGCTCCCCCCCGCGCGAGGAGCGCCGCTTGGTACAGCCCGCTCTACGGCAAGCGCCGGCGGCCGCACTTCCCCGCAGCGCGTCCGCTGGCGTCCGCAAGGCGCATGTGCCGCGGGGCCCCCGCGCACGCGTTGCTCTGCCATTGGCGACGGCTGCCTCGCCGCGCATGCGCGATGGCGCCCCGGGCCGGGTCCCGCGGCCCGAAATGGAGCCGCGGGAGGGGCAGGGGGGAGGCGGGACCGGGACCGGGACCGGGACCGGGACCGGGACCGGGACCGGGACCGGGACCGGGACCGGGACCTCGATCTCAGCCCTTCCCTGTGCCTTTCCTTGGGAAATCTATTCCCAGCTGGTTCCTGCAAGTTCAAGTAATTTCCAAGTAATTCTGCATCCCTGTCCCGAGTAAAGACACCTGTAACAGACCCTTACTAAATTACTGAGCTGTAAGCTGCACCTCTTTAGGCTGTCATATAATCTCCTCACTTTTTTATTTCTCCACTTTTATTTTCTAAGTGCACATGTACCATAAGATCATATAGATCTTTTTAAAAATGCTTGCTTTTTTATTTTCYTTGTGAAAGGTATCCATACGCAGCATAAATCTCCAAGCTAATTTTATTTTGATTTCAGGATTACAGAATCTGAGGGATAGGACAACTACGCAACTGTCATAAAAAATACATTAACAATTATTATAGTAATTGTTAATATGGTTGCTGCACTGCTCAAAATAGAGCAAATTAGCCAAGAAAGTCTCCGCCTGACAAAGCTCCGTCATTGGAAGTGCATTGAGCAGCTTGAAAGCTGTGAGCCTCGATGTGGAAGCGGCGCATTGCCTTGGGAAGCGGCGTGTTGCCTTGGGAAGCGGCGCGTTGCCTTGGGAAGCAGCACTTTTGCTTGGGAAGCGGCGCATTGCCTTGGGAGCAGCATGTTGGCTTGGGAAGCGGCGCGTTGCCTTGGGAAGCGGCGTGTTGGCTTTGGGAGCAGCACATTGCCTTGGGAAGCTGCGCTTTGCCTTGGGAAGCGGCGCGTTGCCTTGGGAAGTGGCGCGCTGCCTTTGGTGCTGGGTGTCGGGCAGTGCCCATGCCCGGGCTGCCGCACTCCGGCTTAGCCGGGACGCGGGGCCCGCTCGCAGCTCTAGCTGGTGGGGTCAGCSGGTGGCAGAGCCCCCAATCCCTGCCAGTTTTGCAGGATGCTCCCGGGCAGAATCCAATAAATCCAGAATCCTGGGCTTTCCCCCAGTAAAGGCTCTTGTTGTGTCTTGGCTGTGGCAGCGACTGTGTGTGCTGGAGAACATAAAGACCGGAGCCAGCTGCGTTACGGGGTCGTCTCAGTACCACGACTCCTGTAYGGATTCAGGGTGTTCCACAGTCACGTCTGCCTTCTGTCTATCATTCTAACCAGCACTGCAATATTCCCTGAAGTCTCCCGGTCGTTTATGTGTTTGTTTTCTCTTATCTGATGTTGCTCTCTCAAGTTGTATCAACCTGTTTTCTTTTGTCTTAGGTAATAAATTCTCTTGGCAGGAGGCGTCTCTCTTGTTTATCCTTCTGCTCCATCTACCACAGTGCTGTTCTGGTCCAAAATTTGCAATCCCACGAGCCTATGGTAATACAAATGCTATACAAAATAAACAAATATATGACTTACTGTTTTGATTAAGTTTGTTTGTTTGTTTTTATGTACCACAATCTGAACTGAGAGTAAATAGTGCACATTTCCCATACCCCACAATTCTTTTGTAAATGCCATCTGTGTTATTATCTGGTTTTTACCTCTCCTTTTGAATCCTTTTGAATATTCTTGCAGGCTAGGGACAACGAGTAGGTATACTTTTATGTATAATAAACCCAAAATTGCA